CCGAGCCAGAAGTTTATTTCTTATGTGAGAACTGGTTAGAGGTAGAGGTGATGGGAGAGGGAATATTTGGAGATAGTATCTGCTCTTTTGTATACCACATGGTACAACACCTATTGTAAACATTATACTGTTTTTACTCACTGGTTTAAATAAGTCTGTTTTTAATCTCTGCCATTTTATTCAGCTAAACATACAAAGACCAGTGTTTCAAAAAGAGGCCCTTCCTTTTTTGAATCCTTACATACCAATTGTGTTAGGTTTGGTGCTTCCTTTTCTCCCTGTTTGTAAGAAATGTTGCTGTGCGGTGCCTGTGGCTCAGTGAGTAGGGTGCCGGCCCCATATACCAAGGGTGGCGGGTTCAAACCCAGCCCCAGCCAAACTGCAACAACAAAAAATAGCCGGGTGTTGTGGAGGGCACCTGTAGTCCCAGCTACTCAGGAGCCTGAGGCAGGAGAATCACCTAAACCCAAGAGCTGGAGGTTGCTGTGAGCTGTGATGCCACGTCACTCTACCAAGGGCGACAAAGATAGACTCTGTCTCAAAAAAAAAAAGAAAGAAAGAAATGTTGCTGATTTTTGTGGATAAGGTTGCATAAGACACTAGACATGTCAGGATTAAAGGACTATTTGAAGAATGACTACAAGTAAATTCTTTGGTCCTGTGTATTGCCAAGTGCTGTACACACAGTTTTTTGCTTCAGATTATATTGAGGTACCTTGTCTTATGCCCTTGTCTTCTCCATCAGGTGAAAACAATGTTTATACATTTGTAAAAGGCTCTAATATGAAAGCAAAGTATTTTTAGTACTTAAAAATGAAGCCAGTAGCCTTTGCTAATTCTTACTTCAGCCATCTCTGAGGCCTTCTAAGCTTAACACCAACCCTATTAGAACTCCCTGGAAATAAGACTAAAATAGTCATGGAGTGTACTTCATTTAGTTTCATACTTTTTGTCGTTGAGGATGGACAGAGGAGGAAACAATAGTCCACCAGAAGCTTTAGTAAGGAAAAATCGACTCAGCCTTCCCAGTGGTCAGTTACCTTTGGTGGTTTTCAGGTACTGATGGTGTGTTACTGTGCTCTTTGCTTTTGCCAGGCTCGCTGTGATGCCTCCTCTTTTGAAAGCGTGCGTTGCACCTTCTGTGTGGATGCCGGTGTGTGGTACTATGAAGTAACAGTGGTCACTTCTGGTGTCATGCAGATTGGCTGGGCCACTAGAGACAGCAAATTTCTCAATCATGTGAGTAATCTGAACAACTCTGCAGATGGGGTAGCTGCAGTTTGGTTTTGGTTTTGGGAAGTTTTTCCCTAATGGAAGATATGTGGGTATACTTATTTTTCAAATAGATTTGCTCAGTAATCTTTTTGTAGGCTGAACTACGTGGTACTAGGCTGGTTTGCTAAACTGATTGAGAAATAGGATAACACAAGTGAAATTACCCCTCAGTGAGTTTTACGTTCACACTAATTTTCCACTTAGAAGTTAGATGAGTCCTTTGTCTTTGCAGGCTCTACTTCAACCCCAGCCACATTTTTGGCTCAGTTTGAACTAGTCCTGATTATTACCATGAGTTATAATAACTTCATAGGCATTCTTTTCCTTTCAAAAAGTACTAAGTGTTGACTTCTTTTTTTTTTCCTTTTTGACTTCTTTCACCTGAACTTATAATCACTTGGCATATTTGTTTTCAATATTTAGTGTTTAGGCTGGGCACTGGTGGCTCATGCCTATAATCCTGCCACTTGGGAAAGCCAAGATGAGAGGAACACTTGAGGCCAGGAGTTCAAGACCAGCCTAAGAAAGAGTGAGACCCTATTTTGGCAAAAAATAGAAAAATTAACTGAGCATGGTAGTGTATGCTTGTAGACCCAGCTACACAAGAGGCTGAGTCAGGAGAATCACTTTAAGCGCAGACATTGGAGTTTGCAGTGAACTGTAATGATACCTCTGCACTCTAGCCTGGGCAACAGAACAGAATCCTACCTAAAGAAACAGAAAAACAAAAAAAATTATTATTTATCTTTTGTTACAGAAAACTATAACATAGGGTGGCACCTGTGGCTCAGTGAGTAGGGCACCGGCCCCATATACCAAAGGTGGTGGATTCAAACCCGGCCCCAGCCAAACTGCAACAAAAAATAGCCGGGCATTGTGGTGGGCGCCTGTAGTCCCAACTACTCAGAAGACTGAGTTAAGAGAATTGCCTAAGCCCAAGAGCTGGAGGTTGCTGTGAGCTGTGATGCCACAGCACTCTACCAAGGCCGACAAAGTGAGACTCTGTCTCTAAAAAAAAAAAAAGAAAGAAAAGAAAACTATAACATTAAAAGGATTGGGCTACCACTCCCTGAGTGTCAGAGAAGTTGGAATTCCTCCCTTTCCTACAGATACATGATTTCTTGCCATTTTATACCCTTCTAACACCCAGCCCAACTGGCTTTCTTCTGTTGGTCAAATTATAAGCTGTTTGGAATTAATCCAGTTTTGTTCCGTGGCATTTTGTATTCATGTGATTTTTTTTTTAACCATTTTAAGTTCCTTGGATTATTTTGTTAATCTAAATAATAGTACCTCATCCAAGGCCAAGTGCAGTGGCTCATGCCTGTAAACCTAGCATTCTGGGAGGCCGAGACAGGTGGATGGCCTGAGCTTACAGGTTTGAGACCAGCTTGAGCAAGAGCAAGACCTCGTCTTTAAAAATAGCCTGGCATTGTGGCAGGTGCCTATAGTCCCAGCTACTTGGAAAGCTAAGGCAAGAGAATGACTTGAGCCCAAGAGTTTGAGGTTGCAATGAACTCTGATGTCACAGCATTCTACCGAGGACGACAAAGTGAGACTCTCAAAACAAAAATAGTACCTCATCCAATATGTAAAGTCCTAGGACAGGTTTCAAAAGTGATCACACCATGTTTATGCCTGTCATAAGCATAGTTTTTTGTTGTTGTTTGGAGAACAGGGTCTTGCAATATTCTCTAGGCTGGTTTCAAGCTCCGGGGTTCAAGCAATGTTCTTGTCTCAGCTTCCCAAGTCACTGGGACTATAGGCATGTGCCAACATACCAGGCTTATGAGCACAGTTTTAAAATGAACCTTTCAACAGGCTGTTTTGCACCCTGGAATTTCACAGCACTTTACTAAAATTGCTAGGCTGGATAGAGACAAGTTGGAGGAAAAGGCCGGTGAAGCAGAATCATTTCATCTGCAACATGAAACTGTAATGTCTGCCATGTAGTTGCAGACCTTTAGCTCCTGAAGTTAAGAGGCTTAAAATCTTTCTTATTCTCCAAATCCCTTGAAGACTGTTGGTCTTGTCGAAAAACAAACATTTTTCTCTGATCTAAGTACTAATGGATTCCCTGTCTCCTTGTTAGAAATTGATGAAGTCATATTTAATATAAGTTTTTTTGTGTTTGTTATTGTTGATGATGTCATTGTTGTTTGGCAGGCCTAGACTGGGTTCGAACCCCCCAGTCTTTGTGTATGTGGCTGGCACCCTAACAGCAGAGCCACAGGCACTGAGCCCTAATACAGGGTTTTAATTATGTTGCCATACTTACAACGTTGCTTTAAATGAACATTGTTCTGCTGATTCTGAATCTTTTTGCCCGTTCAACAGGGTGTGGTTTTGTGGAATAAGTATTCCTAAGATACACCCAATTTCAAAAGATTTCAAGTCTCTCCATAATGCTTTTTTTTTTTTTAAGACACAGTCTTACTATGTTGCCCTCAGTACAGTGCCATGGTGTCACAGCTCACAGCAACCTCAAACTCCTGGGCTTAAGCGATTCTCTTGCCTCAGCCTCCTGAGTAGCTGGGACTACAGGCACCCACTACAACACCCAGCTATATTTTTGTTGCAGGTATTTAGCTGGCAAGGGCCAGGTTCAAACCCGTCACCCTCAGTGTATGAGGCTGACACTGTAACCACTGTGCTATGGGGGCCGAGCCAATGCCCCCAATGTCTTATTTTAATTCTTACTGTTAAGGTTTCAGTTATGAAAGGATGATGAAAGCATTAGACTCAGAGATAAGTCATTAAAATGAGAAGTTTCCACCATCTTAAGCAAGAGCAGAGACTCCATCTCTGAAAATAGCCGGGCCTTGTGGTGGGCCCCTGTAGTCCCAGCTATTTGGGAGGCCAAGGCAAGAGGATCACTTAAGCCCAAGAGTTTGAGGTTGCTATAATCTATGATACCACAGCACTCGACCCAGGGTGACAAAGGGAGACTCTGTCTCAAAAAAAGATGAATGAGAAGCTTATGGGTAGTTCTTGTTCAGGTCACCTACAGAATAGTTTTTCTTGTGTTTTATATTTTTATGGAAGTTTGGGAGAAACATGTCTCTAAGAATATACTTTGACTTACTAAAACAGCTTTTGCCGATTGGGCATAGTAGCCTATAATCCTACCACTCTAGGAGGCCAGGGCAAGAGGATCCCTGACCTTTGAGTTCAAGACCAGCCTAAGCAAAACCAAGATCCTGTCTCTACTAAAAGTAGAAAAAAATTAGCCTAACATTACAGAAGGCACCTGTAGTCTCAGCTACTAAGGAGACTGAGGCAAGAGGATCACTTGAGCCCAAGAGTTTGAGGTTGCTGTGAGCTTTGACGACACGGCACCTTACCCAGGGCAATAGAGTGAGACTCTATCTCACAAAAAAATAAAAAAAAATAATAAAATAGCTTTGGCCATTTTGCAAGCATCTGTCATGTGACAGGTCTTTCACGTATTTGTCTCTAATCTCTTTGAGTTTGGAAAGGTATTATTTATTCTCCCATTTAAAGATAAGGGAAATGAGGGTCAGAGAAATTAAGGAACTTTCCCAAAGCCTAGCCTCCAGCTGATGGAGAAGATTTCAAGCCCTAGTCAGAGTAGTTCTTCCTCTATTGAAGCATCTAGTGTTGGAGAAATGATTCTGGTTATCTCAAAGAGAAAAGGAATGACTTGGAAGTCTGTTTGGGGAATGGTGAGGGGCCCAAACTATAATGGGCTGCAAGACAAGATAAGGGCCGAGAGACGCAAAGTGCAATAGCCACTGTTTTAGGAGAATGATCTAACCAGGACACAGCCAGCACTGCTACCATAATTCAGTCCTAACTATACCTCTGTGCGGGGTCCCTTTCACCTTACTGAGCATCTTTTGGGAGTGTCCAGTTGACCAAACCTGGATCGTATCCTACCCCTCCACTTCCAGAGCAGAGGCAGGACAGGAAGAGGTTGGAGTGCTATACACCACGTGGGAAAGAGACTCAAAATATTCCCTGAATGACAAGTTATGGATATAAACTTTCTTTTGTTTTTAGCAGTGAGTTACCAGAAAACAGGCAATTCAAAATAATCACTTCACATACCAAGCTAACCACCCAGTTCTTTCATTTATCTGTCCTGGCCAAAGGAAATGAAAGTTAATCATAACTGGGAATTTTTTTGAGCTAAGAAAAGGTATGATACATCCAGGTTGCTTTTTGAGATACACGTTCAAAGGGATTTGTTTTTAAGTGCATCTCTGCTAGGCAGAGGCACTTGCTTCTTAGATCTGGTAAAGTTGGTCTGTGGTTATTAGAGTTCCCAATTTGTCCCATACTGCCACTCTGTTGTGGAATTCATCTAGACATTGAAGACATCGCATAATAAAGAACAAGTAGTCTCGGTGCCTGTAGCTCAAGCGTACACCAGAGGCTCAAGTAGGCTCAAGGCACCACCCGCATACACCTGAGCTGGCAGGTTTGAATCCAGCCTGGGCCAGCAGAACAGCAATGACAGCTGCAACCAAAAAATAGCCAGGCATTGTGGGGGCACCTGTGGTCCCAGCTACTTGGGAGGCAGAGGCAGGAGAATCACTTGAGCCAGGAGTTGGAAGTTGCTGTGACCTGTGATGCCACAGCACTCTACCCAGGGTGACAGCTTGAGGCTTTGTCTCAAAAAAATAAAATAAGATAAAAAATAAAAATAAAGAACGAGTAATGAGGCTGATCCTTACCAGCTCTTGGTGGCTAGGAATCTTATAGAAATATCTTTCAAGTGTCTGTCAAGGATTACTAGGATACTGGAAATTGAAGGCAGAATTGCCTATGCCCCAACACCCAAATTTTAGTGTTTTTTACTTACTGGTTTATTCAGCCTTCAAGAAGAATAGCAAGGCAGTCCTTCTAGACTGATGAATGCCTAGGCAATAGATAAAGTTCATTTAATTCTCGAATAGTCTGAATAGTGCGTATCAACAGCTATTTCAGAAGAGTTACTTTGGACAACATTCATCTAAATTCAATATATTGTAGCTCAAGAATTAAATACATTATAGTTGAGTTCGTCCAAACTCTTTTCTCAGTCTTTCTGCTCAGGGCATTGTTTACCCCATAGATAAGCAGGCCAACCAGAACTGAGCTCTGAGTTGCATTTAGGCCATGTTTTCAATTTCTTTTTTTTTCCCTTTGGTTTTTGGCCCTGGGCCGGGTTTGAACCCACCACCTCTAGTATATGGGGCCGGCACCCTACTCCTTGAGCCACAGGCGCAGCCCACATGTTTTCAGTTTCTTTCTCCACTAAAGCTTTTCACCATTGATCTTTAATGATAGTAGTTTTACCTTTGCATGCTTCTTGTATTTCTTTTATTTATTCATGAGTACTCAAAATAATTTCTTAAAATCTCATCCACTGGGCTGGGCATGGTGGTTCATGCCTGTAATCCTAGCACTCTGGGAGACTGAGGCAGGAGGATCGCCTAAGTTCAGGAGTTTGAGACCAGGCTGAGCAAGAGTGAGACCCCCATCTCTAAAAATTGCCAGGCATTATGTTGGGCGCCTGTAGTCACAGCTACCTGGGAGGCTGAAGCAAAAGAATCGCTTGAGCCTAAGAATTTGAGGTTGCTGGGAGCTATGACACCATGACACTCTACTGAGGGTGACAGTCAGACTCTGTCTGAAAAAAAAAAATCTCATCTACTTTTTAAACAATTCTATGAAATAATTGAAAGATAATAACTAATGAAAGAAGAAACTGTCAAGGAC